TTCCCCATCCAAGTCATTAATATTTATTGTAAATAGTTGTGGCCCCAGCACACTAGTTACATCCTGAAAATGTCTCCCTTATCCCAGATTTTTGTCTTGTAGAAATTAATTGCCTCCCTAATTACTTCATCTACCTGCATGCTGAATGTTTGTGATTTGTGAATTAAGGCACCCTGATTTTCAGACTTCTGTGGTATTTCTTCATTTGACTAATATTCTGCTTTACTATTGTTCCTGCCAAAGAGGACCAGCTCGTATTTTCCCACATTATACTCAATCTGCCAAACTATTGCCTGTTCACTTAACCTATTGATACTTCATTTGCATACTTTGTTTTCTCTTCACAAATTACTTTACTGTCTATCTTCATGTCATCAGAAGTTTGACAATAGAATTGGTTCCTTCATTCTGTTCATGAATGTAAATCCTAAATAGTTGAGGCCCAGCACTGATCTCTGTGGGAACTGCATTAGTTAATTTGCCATCCTGAAATTTAGTTGGGCTGTCCTCTATCCATACTATCCCCAATACCATGAGCTCTTATCTTATGTAGTAGTCTTTTATGGGGCACCTCATCAAATGCCTTTTGGAAATCCAATGATACTACACCTCCTGGTTCCTCACTTTCTACCATTCCTGTTTCATCTTCAAAGAACTCTACTGCAAAGCTATGTTGACTCTGTGGTAGTATTTTGGTTTCCTAAAGGTCCTGCTAGTACTACTTTAATAATGAATGCAGTATTTTCCTAATGATGAGTGCTAGGCTAACCAGCCTAATATTTTCCTGCTTTCTTTCTCCCTCCTTTCATGAACAGAGGTGTAGGTCTTTGCTGCAATCTCATTAAAACCTATGGAATTTTGTAAGATTTATAATCACCATGTCCACCATCTCTTGCAACTACTACTTTGAAGACATTCGGGTGCAGGCCATCAGATCCAATGGACTTAACAGGCTTTAGTTTCATTAGTTTTCCCACTACATTTTCCTTAGTACGCTCTTCATACTCGCACATTGAAATGTGACATAATAATAGAATAAAATAAATAGAATGTAATTATATTTCCCCTTCTAACTTCCAGAAGAAGTTAGGTTCACTGTTCAAAATGTAAATTTACGGAGATTACAGCAATGTTTTAACATAATTGAGAGTTGATTTCTTATTGCAGCTAGAATTCAGATTAGTCAGCATAATGTTTCCTCCATTTAGCACTAAGTGCAAGAAAATGGTAGGAAGTTTCTGTCATCAGTGACAACTTGACTCCATGACAATTGTGTTTGCCTTTATTTTTGATTAGGCCTTCTGCCACTTTTTTTTGTAGAATATGGATGACAGTCTGAAATCAGACCTGGATGAGCAGTCAGAGTGTGTAAAAGTTGACCACAAGACAGAAGTAGACGCACTGAAGCTGGAAAATGGCTTCAGCGTGAGTCAAGTGGCCAACCCAATGGAGCTTCCACAGGGACGGGACTCTATCCCTTTCTCTGTGATTAACAGCGAGGAGGAGGAAGGATTGTACCTCTTTCAGAGCAAGGAGAAGGGGCAAAAGCAGTCAGAGATAGGCCTGAATATGCAAGTTGAGGCTTCAGGGGAGGTTACAGCAAAGGCCCTCTTGAGCTCTACTGCTCCTCAACTAAACCACCATCTGAAGGAAAGGGAACAGAAAGACCAGTCTTTAAAGATAAATGGCGATATATCTTATTACCATGAACCTCCTCAGCTAATCCGCTGTTTTCAGGTAAAGTTGAATGTAGGAAACCACAAGGTCCTTTCAACTCCACCATACTGATCTATTTTTCATCATAAAAACCAAGACACTGCAGCATGTTGGTTTGACATGAACAGCTGAGACAATCTGACTATGTATTTAGATATGTTCAAAGTGTAATGTATATCATTCATCCATTTTTATGAAAAGCAGAGGGAAGTTTGATATTGGCTTGCTTCAGTGTCATTGGTTTCTAGACACTGGTAAATTTTGGTGAAGTACTTTTCAAATGACTTGCAATCACATTTAGGAACACAACAAATGTTGCCTTTGCCTAATCTATTTTTATGTTTTAACCCTGATCTACTCTACTTGTACTAATATTGCCATTTGCATGGTGATCATTAACAACGTGTATGAAAGGTGGTGGTAGAATTGCTAAACACTTTTATTTCCACATAAGAAAAATAGAAATCAAGGAATAATCCTTCTTTCTTGACAGGAAGTGGGCAGCATTTTCTGACACCGATTTATTCATGAGTCATGAATTCTGTTTTTGTTGTTTTTTAGGTCCTTCTGCTAAACTATACTATCATTATAGGCTTTGGGCAGGACACTGCAAAATTGTCAGATTGTTGCCATGTATTTTATGATAGTTCTTTCTCTGCTTTGCCTAGCAGTTTCCACCACTAAATTGAAGAATAAAAAATTTGGAAATCACATTTATTATTTAAATTAGATAGTTTTATTTCCTCACTGGATTTGTTTTCATATTTTCTAAGCGTGTCGTCATCATCAACAACAACCACTGCTGTTAAATGTATTGGTTTCTATGTGAAACTTACTCATTTATCTAAATCTTTTACGGTGACTGCAGTTGTCTGGATTGCTAGTTAATTCCTAACATTGCAGTTTACAAAAAAACCAGCTTCCATCTTCAAACAAGACAGTTGATAGTCAAGTTAATTTGGATATCTGTTTCCTTCATCTGGCAATAACAGATGACCTTATAAAACATTCGACTTAGCACTTCTATTTTTTTGGGCTGTATCACTCCATGAAGCAAACAACAATGACTACAACAAATTAACTTCCAAATTTCCATTTTGTTTTATCAGACTTTTTTCATCTATGATCATTTTTATTTAAATGTATTAAATGTAGAAGATTAATATTAAAGATTTGCTAATGGTTCTTGTGGGAAGGAAATCTACTGTCTTTACCTGGTCTGGCCTACATGGCACTGCAAATCCACAGCAATGTGGTCAACTTTTCATTGCCCTCTTAGACTGGCCTGCTGGACCATTTTGTCATTCAAAAGCAATTAGGATTAGGCGATAAGTGCTAGCCTTTCTAGTGACACCCACATCTCATGAAAGGATAAAGAAAAATACCTGGTGACTGGAGGTTACTGTTTTCTACTGATTCTAAACTTAGAATTCTGATGAAGAAAAAGCACGATCTGTTACTAACTGCTAGATATTATAAGTGGGTGAAAAAGACCTTCAATCTCAAAGGTACTGTTTTTTCCACTAATTACCTTAGTTTTATGCTTCTTATCTAAGTCTTAGAAACTGGAGACAGTAAATGTGTAAATCGTTTCCTGCATTTGTTTGGAATCTTGTCAAATCAGCCTTGTTAAATGTATGTATTCATGAAATGTGCTATTAGATTGAAGATCCATCATCATCTTTCTGGAGTATACATAGAAAAATCCAACAAAAAATATGTGAGGATGAGTAGTGAGAACCAGTAATATTCATGACAAAATAACTGATCAGTGTCAGAAATGCTCCTCCGTCAAAGGTAATCCAGTTTTTGTAATTCAAGGCTGAAATAGCCTCGGTGGCAAAATGAAAAAGTACAGGTTGCTACAGCAAGATGATTCTGATCCAGTTGCAGCACTGATTTTCCAGTGCATGGTCCTGCTACAATGCAATTGAATATTCCCAGAAATAATTTGGAATGGGTAGTAAAAGTAAACTGAAGAGATTTTCCTGCTCTGCTGTTGAGATCTATAGTGCTACATTGTAACCACACTATATTTGTTTTGCCATTGTCAAAAGTAACTAACACTTAATGCTGTTATCATGCTTTTTCAAAAATTTTCATTTGATATGATTACTGCTTTTCCATTTTCTATAGCCGCCACTTGTAAAGACTCAAACTGTAACCATCTCTGACATGCCCAACTCTGAAAATGAGATTGCAACAAATGAAGTTCCTGTTGTTCACACTGAAACAAAAACCATCACCTATGAAGCAGCACAGGTTTGAAATTACTGTAATGTCAACTTGTGATTATAGATTGAGAATTTAAGATTTGTATTTTAATTTGGCCTTTTTTTGTTTTGGAGGGCTTTTGGTGGAAGATGTGCCTCATAACTCACTGAGCTAAACCAGTGAATGAGCTGGGCCATATCAATGCAAAATTACCCAGATTTGAACTTATGTTGTTAATTAATATCCGACCTCCGGGATCATCAGTTGGCCTCAGTGCTATATTAAAATAGTGCGAATTGGTCCAAGTTAATGTTCGGAGTTCACAATCCAATAATTCCTGTATGTTTACATCAGGTGAGCAATGTTTCGGTGTCAGCTGTGATGGCCTCTGTCAGGTAACCTGCTGCCATTCACTCGGGGCCCACAATGTTGCTGCATTGCACTGTGACTGTGACCGTGACCATGACCATGGCAAACCAGTATATAAGAGACAAAACCAGAAGTTGCTGGAAAGGCTCAGCAGGTCTGACAGCATCTGTGGAGAGAAATCAGAGTTAACCTTTTGGGTCCAGTGACCCTTCCTCAGAACGATAGCAATCTGCTCTGATTTGCTCTCTATCGCCCCTTATTATTTGGAGCTTTGCCATTTTAATGTTAGTTATGCTCCCTGTTCATTATCCTTTACTGTCAAACTGGTTTTTGGAGTATTTTAGTCTTTCAGTTGGCCCTCAAATAGTATTGGTCTACAGAATTGGCTATTCTAATGTGTTTCTCTCTGGCGTTCCATCCTGCATAATACATAAAATAAACTCTGATAAAACTCTGCTGCCTGTGTCCTAACCTTTGAATTTTTCAATTCACATCCGTGTATTCAAATCTCTCCTTACCTCTGCAATCTTCTCCAGTGCTGTGACCCTTTAAGAACATGACATTCTTCTAGTCCATTATCTATTGTTGGCTTTCTTCGCACTAAAATTGGGATAGTGCCTTCAGCCATCTAGATCTAATGCTCTGGAAATCCCTCCCTAAATCACACTGCCTCTCCATCCTTCTATTAGACTTCCATTTTGAGCTACGTATAAATGTTTATCTAATTATGCTCTTGTGAAGTTCTTTTGAATGTTTTATTACAATAAAAGTAGGATCAGAGGTCAACAGCATAGGAAAAGGTCCAATAAGTCTGCATTGGTCAAAAACAACAACCTAACTATTCGAATTCCATTTCCCAGCACTTGGCCCATAGCTTTGTATGCCTTGACACTGCAAGTGTATGTCTAAATATTCATTAAATGTTATGATAGTTTCTGCTTCTAGCGCCCTTACAGGCAGTGAGTTCCAGCTTTCCACCACTCTGGGTGGGAAATAAAATATTCCTCACATCCCTTCTAAACCTCTTTCACCTTGCCTTAAATCTGTATCACCTCATCATAGATACCTCCACCAAGGGGAAGATATTCTTCCCGTTTACCCTCTCTATGTCCCTCATAATTCTATACATCTCACTCATATATCTCCCTTTTAATGTTCTCTGCTCCAAGAATAGCAACCCCAGGCTTATTAATCTCTCTTCATATCTAAAACTGTTCTGCCCAGTATTAGTCCAGTACTAAATAACTGACAATGATGTAGTAACATATGAACATACAAAATAGAAGCAGATCAATCAGCTCCTTGAGTAATATGGTTGATCTGCTTATGTTTTGTTACCATGTTTTGAATTCCACATTCTCACCTTACACCACCACCAGCACACATACCCGCTTCTGCTGTGCCCCAGATAAACCTCGGTTCCCCTGCCTAACAAGAATCTGTCCATCTCTGACTTAAAAATATTCAGTGACCCTGCCTCGACCATCTTCTGAGGCACAGAATTCCAAAGTTCCACATCCATCTGAGAGGAAAAAATAAATCCTCCTCTGTCCTGAAAGAGCAAACCCAAATTTTAAGACAGTACACTCTATTTCATGATTGACTCACATAACATCCTTTCCATGTCCACCATGTTAAGACCACTTAGGTTCTTGTACACTTTTATCAAGTATCCCTTCGCACTTGTAAACTCCACATGAAACAAGCTCGGTCTGTCCAGTCTTTTCCTCAAAGGAGAACCCACTCATTCCAGGAATCAAACGAGTAAACCTGTACTGAACCACATCCAATATATTTACGTTCATCCTTAAATAAGAAAACCAAAGCACAGTTTTCGAAATGTGGTCTTATAAATGCCTGGCATAACTGAAGCATAGAATCCATACTTTTACATTCCTCTCATAATAAAAGCTAACATTTCATTAGCCTTCTTGATTCTGTGCTATACCTACATATTAACCTTATGTCTCACACAACAAAACATCTAAATCCCTCTGCACCTTGGAAATTTGAAGCCATTCTCCCTTTAAGAAATACTCTTTATTTATCCTGTCAAGGTGAACAACATATCATTTTCCCACATTATACCCCATCTGCCCATTTTTTGCCAACTCACCCATCTACATCGACCTGCAACTTACTTATGTCGTCTTCATAGTAAACTTTTTCCTACATATCTTGGTGTCATCTGTGAATTTAGTCCTCATACCTTTGCCCCGTCCCTCCCATCGAAGTCATCGATTTAAATTGTAGAAGGTTGAGATCCAGCAGAGACTTCTGTATGACTCCACTCATCACATCCTAACAATCAGACAAAAGCCCATTTAGGTATACATGCCAGCCAGCCAATCTTCTTTCCGTTCTAATATGTTAATCCTTACACCATGAGCTTATGTTTTCTGCAAATGTTTTATATGGCATCCTGTCAGATGCCTTCTGGAAATCCAAATAAGGTACAACTACAGGCTCCACTTTATCCCCTGTATCTGTGATCCTGTTTCATCCATGTTGTAGACTAGATCAGCTTTTAAAAAAAAATTAATCTTAGAATGTGGATGTCAATGTCAGTGTACACGACTGTAAATCCTCTTTAATGAACATTTTCTTGGAATAATTTTGAAACTTTTTGCAGACAGATGATGGTAATGGTGACTGTGAACCTGGGGTATTGATGAGTGCTCAAACTATCACATCTGAGACCGTCTCCACCACTACAACCACTCAAATCACAAAGGTAATGAAAGGACATTAAAGCATCTTGAGAATTTCCATGGAACACTTATTGATATTGTGTGATTAAAATCTTTCCTAAAGTAGAGCATTTATAAGGTGTTTGAATTTAAATTAGGAGATGTTTTATTGTGCAGATAAATTCACCAGTGGTATTCTCCAACCAGCCATGATTCAATGTTCCAATTTAAAGTGGAAAAAAAGCTGAAATTTATACATCAAAATGAATGCTTAAATAGGATAAAATCTAAGCTGTTTTTATTTCATTTCCTCAGACCATTAAGGGAGGAATTTCAGAAACCAGGATTGAAAAACGAATTGTAATCACAGGAGATAGTGATGTTGACCATGATCAGGTGAAAATGATTGTTCTTGACTTGGTAGTGAGTTTCCTGTTTCCATTTTTAATTTTTTTTTTAAATTTATTTTTATTCTTTTTCTGTCCAGAAGTGTTATCACACGCAACTCAGTGTCTTCCCACCACCAAAATCACCATGACTTTTCTTTGGCTTTTTTGAACTAGGCACCACCACCAGTAAAAGCATCAATGTATCAAATAGAATATTTACAAGCAAAGCCCGTTATGAGCAATGAAAACTATCAGGTTTCATTTTTAAAACGTGGTCTTGAGTCAGGAATTTAATGTTCAAGCCAACAAATAATGTGATGGACCTGATCTTGTTAGTGAGTAACTATGGTTTTATAATGCAGTCTAAGCACAACTGGTAAATTATTAATTAGTTATCTCTGGAGAATTATCCCCAATTTTAAAATTATTTCCTCACAGTTTAAACCACGGAGTGACCTAATTTGTCTTCTCCACCAGTATCAATGTTCATCCTCCCGTTAGGATGCAAAAATAAAGCCGGAATTCTTAAGGTGGTTTCTCAACCATGTCTTCTCCTTCCTTTAACCCTGAATAAGTCGCAGTCAGATGATTTCTAAGTATAGCATTGCAATCTTTTAACCCTGTGTTGCAGTGTGTTGTAGCACTGTGATGCACCTGTACAATGTGCATTGCATTCATTTACATCTGCTTCAGACTGAAATTACCAGTTTAATCTGAGTATTTTCTCCATGTTGCTTGATTCAAGGCACAACATTTTAGTCAATGAATATTTTGCATCAGTCCTTTTTAAAAATTTTACTGCAGACATTGAAAAATGCAAACAAAACCTACAACTAATTTATGTATCTCAACAGTATATGAGAGCAATGTAATGATTAGGCAAATAAACAGATATTTAGTCATTTGTTCCATATTTTAACACTCATATATGTTTACAGGCTTTGGCACAAGCCATCAAGGAAGCCAAAGAGCAGCATCCAGATATGTCAGTGATGAAGGTAGTGGTCCATCAAGAAACAGAAGTGGCTGAGGAATAAGACGAGGTAAAGTTTTTACTTCTTGCTTTTGATTTTGCTATTAGAGATTAAAGATTAATTGACAAGTACACATGTTGCTTAAGTAGCAGTCAAATTTGGTACAGTCATTGAATTAACATGCATTCAGTTTTCAGCTGCTAATGTGGAGGACTGCACTTTATGGGGGGGGTGGACGGACAGAGTCAGCATGAAACAGACACACTTGGTAGAAGGCCACTTTGCAGCCATAACACATTGGCAAGTGGGGTAAACTGGTTGGGGGTGGGACTTCCACCTCTCACCTCAGGAGCTACTAGCAATCTTGGTAGCAAAAGATCTCGGTAGTGGGTGCTGTCCAAGAGTAAGCATGGAGAATGTGGATAGCTACCACTGAAAGATACACCCCAGGGTCTTAGTGGTAATTGATCTGAGAGCTAGAGGGGGAGTTAGGGGGCTTTATCTGTAGAGTCACAGAGTTGTACAGCATGGAAACAGGCTTCCGTACCAACTAGGTTTCCTCAGCTGAACTATCCCATTTACTTGTGTTGGTCTGTATCCCTCTAAACCTTTCCTATTTTATGTACCTGTCCAAATGTCTTTTAGATGTTGTAATTGTACCCACCTCTACTACTACTTCTGGCAGTTCGAGGGCAGTGAGTGCAGGAGTGCTTTTTTTCATCTAAGACATGATTGGCCTGCCTATTCCACCAATCCATGCCACCTATGTTAAGGTGTGGGCAGCATATTTTCCTAGTTAGTATGTCTAATATGACTCTGCAGATCTGCTGAGTTTCTCCAGCATGGTCTGTTTTTATTACTAACAAGCTTCACTGATCTTTTTTAGATTTTTTTTTTTAAATATAATGGGTGAGCTATCAATTTCATCATGTCCACCTAACGTATTATGAGCTTACCTCCTCAATGTATTCCATGTGCCCCCACAATTCAAAGTAGATGGGCATGTAATATCACAGTCTAGTATCTTGAATGTAGCAAGGAATGTCATCCAAGGAGACCTCAAATTAAAGACTTGTCTGTACTATTGAACAGCAGACAGAACATTGGTACATCTGTATTACAGAAACCTGGTTTGAATATTTTCATCTGTTAGCTAATCTAGAGCTTTAGAAACACAATGTGCATCTACACTCCACTTTGAACAACAATCTGTGCTTTCAGCTATTCTGCTTCTGCAGAAGGCTTATGGATAAGAGAGTAGTGTAAAGCTTTGTTGTTACAGGGTCACTAGATGCTGTTATAGAGGCGCAACTTGCCACGCATCCTAAAGCATGCTCTTCCTCAGGGAGTGAAAATTAACAGATTCCATATACCATCAACGTTAGTTGAGCAATAATATTGTGAATGAAGTAAACCACTTGGCCAGTTTTGTGCAGATTGCTGTGACTTGGAGAAGACAAGAATATACTTCTAATCTACTAAATAAGAATAAGTAGCTACAGACATTTTGCATGTTAAATTGTGCGGGTTCTGATGTAAAATTATGACTCTTTGTGGTTTGTTTGGCCTACCATGTGGTAACTTCTTTTTGTTTTACAGAAGAAAATGCTGAAACCAACTCCTTTTCAAGTCTTACTGCTTGACCATGCAATGGAATATTTTTATATCTTTTCAGGATTTGACCACTGCCATTTGTTTATTTAGCAGACCTTCAATAATCACCAATTCTTATAAATGGAACCAAGTACACAAAGGACATTTGACACAAGAATTCCAAGCCATGGTGTAAACTTGGACTCTGTTTTCTTTGATTTTTTTTTTAAATTACATGGAAACATTCTATTTGATACAGTTTTGGATCTGTAGGTTTTTACATATTTGAATACTTAAAAACACAAGCTGAGAAAACTGCTTTGCTTTTGTGTTCTTTCTCCACTGGCTGATTTAGTGTAAAAGGCATAAAATTAAGTTTCAGCATTTAGGCTGACAGGTTGAGTAGTTTGTGGGGAGTGGAGAAATGAAATTCCAGCACTGTTTAATCATGAAGCATTTTATACTGTGAATTAAAGGAGCTGTGAATAGTTGTGAACTTCTGACACTTCAATTTCTCGGATCTTAACAAAGTAAATCTTAATTTTACCTGTCCAGAGCTGCCACCTTTTTTAGTTTACATTTAAAAGCTGGTATATCCTTTTTCAGATGGACTGTTTTTAAAACGAAATGATAGTTTGGTCAATTTTAATGGGATTTTGATAAACAACGATTGAAACACAAAAGCTTGTTTAAAATAAAAAGACTCCTGGTGTTTGATGGGCAGTTTTAAAAATATTTATTCCATTTTTAGAGGTAAACCTGTAAAGGGGTTTAGAAAAAGGATATAGCAGCTTTGATATTATCAGAAAGTTGTGCAAGGCTTCAGAATACCAAACCAAAAAAAAACTCACATTAGGTGGGATTGTGATCATCAAGTGCTAAATTAAGTAAAATTGACTAAATTATTCAGAATTTTTAAAGTATGCTCTTTTACTTGTGTTTCAGAATTTAAAGAAAAGGTCTGATGAAGTCTCAAAACATACATTGTCTCGACTGGATAATTTAACCCTTAATATATTTTAATGGATTATTTGTAATCTATTATATTATGTTTCTGTATAAAGATTTCTGTTTTCCTGCCAGCAGAGGTTATCCAGCCCAGGATGTTGCTGAATAAAAGACTTAAGTGCCTCAAGAAACAAGTATAGTGTTTGCAGATTAGACAAGTCTTGAGGCTGTGAAGTAGCTTTTAGTTTTTATGATGTAAATCAGAAGAAAATCCCAATTTCTCATGCACATTGATATATACAGTGTGCAGTGTTGAAAATAACATCCAAAAGCTTATGATCCCAATCCTACTGTGAAAGTAGCTCCTGTGAAAGTAGCTCCATATTTTAATTCCATTCTTTCTAGATGTCATCTCTACCAATTGAAGGATTTTTGTAAAGTTCTTTTATACACTTGTATAGAATTAGCGATTTTAAAATCTTTACTCATTGATTTTAATATTAGGGTACCATTTGGTGGAAGATTTTTAAAAAAAAAAAAGTCGTGGGATCTTTGTAGATATTAATTAGTCGGAATTATCTCAGTGTTGTGGGACTTGAATCACACCATGATCATACCAATGATGTAATAGGAAAGTTCAATAGTTGCATTTGGTAGCTGGAAGTATTTACTGAATTCTTCCTTTTTATGGCTTTTTGAATACAATTTTAAAGAAATAAAACTTTTTGATCATAAAACTGAGTTGTAAAACCTTTGAATCCATTTGTGATTGTGTGGACTTAATTATCCCCATTGCTCTCATTCAAAATCCAGTTCATTGTAGTTGTTTATTTCTGAAACCAGGAGGTAACATTCTGAATGTAAACTGCCATCTTCACTGTATAAAATGCTGAGAATCCAACCCTATGAAAGAAACCTCAGAATCTGAACACATGAAAGAAATAAAACAAATATTTAAAGTTCAGTCCATCATCCTTCATGTATTTGTGAATGTCATTAATTATATAACCAAGCTTTTGACTACCTGGCTTTAATTATTACCTGACCTGTCATGTGGTAGGTAACCATGGACCAAGAGAATATTGCAAGTGTAATTTGAATGTACAGTGTCAGATGTTGAGTCTTCCAAACTTATTAACACTTTTGTAAACTTCTAACATGTATTTTTGATGATTTAGTAAGTTTACACAGAAATCGGACTGCTGAAAGAATATTTGAAGAACAGCAAACAATTTATTTGCAATGAGCTTTACAATAAATTCAACATATTAAGTATGTTCATACCAGTTTCCAAGTTAACAAGAAATTGCATTATAAGTCTTTGATGCTCCAGTCATGCTTCATTTTATAATTATATTTAGTTGGCTACCCTTTTGAACACTGTACATCTTGGCTTTCGTCAATGGAAATTGTGACTAGCCAATAATAAATATGATGAATGCACACAGATGACTGTGTACTAAATCTTTGTGCACTCTTTCTCTCTGGGAGTACATGACGAGTTCAAGTTGAGTGTTGGAAGCCAGATGTTTACACTTGTGCATATTTCAAATATTAATGTTTGCGCAACCTACATATTAAAACAGCTGGTAACAAATTGTCTCCTATCCTTGTGTTGGTACGCTAAGTATAACCGTGTTTTTATTCTAATCAGCTAATCAGCAACATAAGCAGTACTACTTATAGCTCGGAGTAGTGGTTAGCACAGTAGTTGAGCACGTTTCCCTTTCATCTTTGGAATCTCTTTTTGCAGTCCATCTGCTTACTATAACGATGATAAAGGTGGTGAATTTGGTCCAATATCAATACAGATCTTTGTGGATCAATTATCTTACAGCACTGTACTGCACAACATTGAAGTGTAATTGATAGTTTCAATGACACTATAAGAGCAGCTGTACAGGGAAATAGAAACATTACAATAATGTAGCATGTTATCTACAGATACCATTAGGAAATACTTCTGCCTTGCTTTATTCTGTAGATGTACGAGAGTACTATTACAAACTACCTGTTGCTGTATTAAAACACTAAAGAGTCAAAAATACCTGTTTACCTGCTGCCTTCTAAGCTTCAACCAATCGCACCTCATTCAGGAGGGTTACCAGAGTTCAATTTGTTTTATTTTCTCTCATTGAAGAAAAGACATTATAATGTAAGCAACTTAGAGGTTTCCTCACAAAACTAAGGAAGGCTTCTAAAAATGGAACAAATTTCAAGAAAACAGAAGATAATATAACAAATTATTTCTCAGCTCTTAATAGTTCTGGTGTTTGAAATGCCAAATCATGAAGGAACACAGGTTCAGCTCACTGAATGAATTGATCTCTGCTAGAGAAGCACAAGGAGAACTACAACAGGATTCAGTGATTCTGATTTAAAAAGAGGAGGAGGAGATTGCCTGGCATTCATGTCTAACAGTTGCTATCCAGTGATCCCATATGCAGTATACCTCCACCCGCTCCTCCGCCTCCCCCACCCCTGTTTTCCCCCTTTGGATGTATACGTTTTTCAGTTTGTTGACTACA